GTGTGTGTGTGTGTGTGTGTGTGTGTGTGTGTCACTTTACTTTGTCGGCGTTGGTATTCGTGTCGATTCGCGCTCGATCGTAAAACGATATATAAATGTATATATATATTACATTATATTATATACATATATATATATATATATATGTGTGTGTGTATACTGTTGTATGTGTGTGCATATTACTCTCTCTCTCTTACTCTCTCTCTCCCTTTATACATATAACTGTACATCGCTCTCTGTCCTCTGTTGAAACATGGGTGTGCTAATTGTGTGCCTCTGTCCATCAACCGCTCTGTTTACTACTATTACTCATACTACTAACCTTGCGTATTAATCTCTATGCTGTCGATAACTAATATGGATACGTGTGTGATTGTGTGTCGATGTGAAAACACGACGGCGCGTACGTGCTTGCGCACACACGTACGTACGACGCCTGGGGATCTGGCATTCTCCTGCCACGGGGGATGCTGCTTCTCTCTCTCTCTCTGTCTATACTCGCCGTGTACATAAATGTAACCCTTGGTGCATTGGTCCCCGCCCCCTCCGAGGTTGTTCCCCTCGACGAGCGAACCTGGTCCCACTTCAAAATCCTTCCTCTCCTCTTCCCCTCCCCCCCCCCCACGTATGTCCCGATCTTGACCCTATCCTTCGTCCCACGCGCGGTACGGCAGGGTGAGATGATGGACCGCATTGAGTACTGCGTGAATCAGACCGGCGACCACGTGGGCCAGGCTCGGGGCGAGCTGATCAAAGCCGAAGAGTATCAAAGCAAGGCTCGTAAGGTAAAGAACATCAGACACCAAACATAGGCACGGCGCGGCCGAGGGCCGAAACTGGGCGAATCTGTTTCTCGTGCAATATCGAGGGGGAGGATCGAAGGAAGGGCTTGCCGAGACAAAGGGCAGATTTCGCGAGTTTCGGTCAGGATCAGCTCGGTCGATATGAACGCTGCTAACCCGCGATTAAACTCTAAAGAGAAGTTTGCTGGCTCTTCATCCAAAATTATTATCGTTGAAAACGGTAGTACGTCCTTTTATTCTTTCCATTCCTTTTTTTTTGCTTTTTTTTATTGTTTTTTTATTCGCCAGCGCGAATTTTGCGAGTTATGTTGAGTCAGATAATAATTTCTTTGGAATCCATTGAAGAGCGGTCTTGTCCCGTGAGTTGACTCAGAGGATTTACCGGACGCTTCTGAAGTACGGCACTCGCGATAAGGAATCGTTTCGCTTGGCGGCGTTCATCAAAAGATGACATCGCGAATGAATGAAGTTCGATAAAAAGGAGCAAAAAAGAATAAGTGCTTATTCAACGGGGAAGGGGGGGGGATTCGAGAGAGATTCATTTGAAGTCTTATCAAGCGCGACGACGGACTTCAAAACATTATCACGGAATAACATTCTTCTCTCGCATTGTTATCATTTTCTCCTCTCGCGATGCGCGATCTTCGCG